CAATCTAATTGATTAACTAATCAATTAACTAATTATTAATCAATTAGCTAATTAATTAACTAATCAATTAGCTGACCAATTAGTTTGTAACAGATATTATCAATGGATGATTTTGATTTCTTGAAAATCAAGTTTGATCCAATGGTTGTTGTTAGTTACTTGCTATAAATAGGGGTAGAGAGTCAGGGTGAGAGGTATAGAAAATTATATAAAAATTTTATTTGGAGAGGAGGGTTTTTATATTGAGAAGAGCTTCCAAAATTATAACATTTGGTTTGCAATAAACAAAAAAAAATCACCTTTTTTTCATCGAAGAAGTCCTAACCTTAGGTAGAATTCGAGAGGGAGCATGAAAGAGGTTTTTTAGGGTCAATGGTTTCCTATTAAGAACAGAAGAGAGAGGGAGAAGGTAATTTAATTTGAGTATGGGGGCGCGATTATAGATTTTGGAGGAGGTCAGAAACCACTTATTGGGGGGCTGTTTTGGAATTGGAGGAAGTTTTTCTCTTTCACTGATTACTTTGGCAATGAAAGTGGGCCTTAAACACGAATACAGTTTGTATTTGGGGCTTAACACATGGCCCAAAATACAAAGGGTCTGGCTACATGAGATTTTTTTTCAATATTAGGGTCTCGGCACAAATTTCTCTCTTTTTTTGTTTTCTCACATTAACAGTGAGAAAATAGTTGATGTGTCACCTGTTAACTAATTAAGACTAGAATTAATTGAATCATGTGTACAAAGACACTCTTGTTAAAGAGTAATTCGCTCCCCTTAGAGATAGTATTTTGGTACAGCAGGTTAAGATGGTATACACCCTATGATTCATTATGATCTTCTTCTCAAGTGTACACTCATAACATGAAGAATGCAGAACAACCTTGATTCAGCTCGTATTACTCCAAGAACTCGACATTGCAACAAGTACTTTGAGGAAATGGAATGAGGAATAGGATAAGAAAAGTTAATGCTTATATTATTGTTTATTTATCTTTGTCGTGGAACACAATATCTATGTGTTGGTGACAATTGTTCAAATTGTATGAAAACAATTACGGAAGAATTAAAAAGAAAAGAAGGAATGATTTTTTTTTTGGTGGGGGTGGTGTGGTGAGCATTAATTGGATCAAACTGATCGAACCAACTAAAATTTGGCGGTTTGGTTTGATTTTAGATATGTGTCGATTGGTTAGGATTGAGAAAACTTAAACTTGACCCTAACTGAATCGACTGATGTCTTAATTATCGAGAACATACTCTTTATTTCTTTTTGTTAGTCCATTAATTTTCTCTCGGGTTTCTTTAAATTGTTTACTATTTAAATTAATTTGCATCATTCTTTCGTTGAACTCTAATTATACTTTTTTTTCTTGAATCAATTAAGATATGTCTTTCTTTTGGGGGAAAAAGAGCCAATTTTCTTTTCTAAATGAGTCAAATTCATAACCGAATAAATCGAACCAAGCTAAGTGAACAAATTTCAGTCGATCCGATTTGGTTTTGAATATAGAATGGTTCTATTTGGTTTTTGTCAAAATTACTCAAAACCGACTAAACCGAGCATTTGAGAGATAGGGGGGTATTCATGTGTGATTATAGTCCTAGAATGGATAGGATAAAAAAGAGTAATGAGATTAAATAAGAGTTAAGACCAATACATAATAGCTTTAAGTTTTTGGGTTAAAATTAATTTTTAGCCTCCGTTAAGACTTATTAACTCTTAGTTGGGCCCAGTTGCTCCCCAATAAATGGTATTTAAGCTAAGAATATGGCATAATTAAAGGAAAAAAAGTGAAATCAAATGTGAAGTCTGACTGTGCTGCGGGAATGACTAGGTTAGGAATATCCACATGAATGAATTATCCATTAACTTTCTATTGGGCCAATAGATAATAACGAGTTATTGAAATTTTTTTTATAGTGAAGCCACCAGAAATTGAGCCAAAGATCGTTAGAGTCATATTAGAACCTCCTCTCCATCTGGACCACTAGCAATACAATACATATTGACTTTTCTATTAACTCATTATTAACTCCAAATCATAAGAAAAAACTTAAAGGTCATTAGAAGGGTAAATTTCACTAAACCCCCAATAAGTTTGGATTTTTAGCAGTTACCCTCAAAATCTTTAAAAAAAATTCTAAACTCCCAATTAGTTTAGAAGGGTCTAGAAAATTCCCAAAATATTTTTATTTTTTGGACTCAACCCTCGTAACAGTGTTTTCCCATAATTTTATATGGATGGAAATATCCTTAAGGTCAATACGGCCAAAAAACGATTGTTTGCATACGTAGTCCTCGAATCATCCGTATTTGCAAATTAACTCCATCCCCAAGTCTAAATATTTGCTAATTCTCATCTAAGTTGAAAGATATGATTTTACCATGATGATGAAATTAAAAATTATAAAACAATCCCAAAGAAAATAGAATAAATACAAAGAGCCCTTGAAATCTGTGAATTAAAGCAATATTTAAATTTTTTGAAAATAACAAACAGTTCTCTGAAAAATCTGAACATTGTGAACAACCCCTTAGAAACTCAAACTATAAACAACCCTTTAAAAAGTACAAACTATAAATAACATCCTGTATAATACAAAAAAAAAATACTAAAGCCCCTAAAAAAATCTAAAATGCAAACATCTCCCAGAAAAACCTTAACATTGCAAATTATCCGTCAAGAGTCAAGAGTGGGATTTGGGCTAATAACGCTCATAAGAAATCGGATACTCATGGGAAGTATAGCTTGAGCTAAAAGAATTACTCTGTCCGAAATTGGCCATCGGTAACGTTTAACAATCAAATAATGAATGCAATTAAAGCTTGCTCCTCTATCCATTATTAGATGTCTCTCGGTTGAGTAACGATCGGGCTACTTCTTAATGATACGGCAATTTCAGAGTTTAAGCATTTGAAGTGTTGTTTCGGGCAACAAGAAAGCTGAAATCATTGCCATGGATAATGATTGTTAGATATTTTAATATCAAATGAAAGTGTTTTTTTTTTCTCCGAAGAAATCATATGTTGCTTATTTCAGCATTTCAACTTCTTTTGCGTTAAATATCATTAAAACCCATTTACCCCTGGACGATTATCAAATAACTTCATTACTCTCAAAATATCAGATGAGCCCCTTATATTAGGTGGTTATTAAAAAAACACCCTATATTTTAAAGATTTTTTTCCCTTCAGAAAACCTCCTAAATACGTGAACTCCAATTTTTCATTGACAAATTCATCCTCCTACATAATTTTATCCACCCAAGTGGAAAATTGCGATTAACACTGTTCAAGTCGGTTTCTTGTTAAAATATTAAAGTTAAAGGGGGCTTTCTGATAACCCCTAAACTTAGGGGGTCCTAATATTTTAAAAGTTTAGGGGGGTTATCTGATATTGGTTCAAAGTCAACAGGGGTTTGTAATAGGCCAAATTTTAAAAATAGACCCTTTTAAATATTTATTTGCACTTTTGACACAGCCCTAACTTATTTAGCATTTTCGATCTAGTTTTATGAAAATGGGTCGAAATTAGTGAATAAAAATTCACACGATTAGCAATCCCATGGACTTTAAACATAAAAAATTTCACGGGATTGGCAATCCCGTGATGTTTTAATTAGCAATTTTAACCTAGGTTGATGAAACTTAGTCGAGATTGCTAATTAAGTTACGACTGGATTGAAATTTATAAATAAATATTTAAAAGGGTCGATTTTAAAAATTTACGCTTTGTAATATTTATCCTTTTTTTAATTTTATGAATCATGTGTTGCTCGTTTCAGCATTTCAGTAGAATTTCTTTCTTTCTTTATGCGTCATTATTGATGAACTGCCAATTAAGCGCGTTAAGGAGTTCAAGTGCTTAACACTCAACCAGACCGGAAAACTTGAAATTTTAACGAGAGTTGGACGTCCAAATCATCAACGAGTAATGTCTATCGTGTACGGGACAAATTTAGCATGCGCAATTTGATAGCTTATTAGTGTTAGTATTGATCACTATAATATATTTCGACAATAATTGCATTATATAAGCAAATGCTCGATCTATTCCCATTGTCATTGTTACAAACAACTAGTCATTCATCTTTAATTTCCTTCCTTCATCATCCTTCTTTTTCTCAGCGTAATTTTAGAATAAAAAGAAGTTCGATCTATAAAAAGCAGACAAAAGGTGAGTCGTATAGATTAATCTACCTTTTTCTCCTAAGATGTAATTTATGTTATTAGCTCCATTCTATTTACTTCTAATTTTTGTAATCCCAAACTCCTTTTGCGGATTGGAACATGTTCATGTTCTATCAAACTGAGAATATATTGTTTGATAAATTAGGTTTAGTACGTTGCACATTGTGTTGAACTTACTGTCCATGTTTGATTTTGAGTGATAGGCCCTTAGGTGAAATTTTTGACTCTTTTATTCTTAGATAGCTAGATTCACTAATTTCACGTACATACAATATACAATATGTGTCAAAGTTTAACACGGATTAAAGTAGCGAAAAAGAATTTATTTCGGCGGGTATATCCTCCAAATCTAAACTAAATGACCATTTCATTCGATCGCGCAATTAACTTATTTCGTACGTGAATGCGCAGATACTATATTCTTTGCTCAATTGCCAAGTATTGTTCTTGATGGCAAACAGAAAAATATTATAAGAAAGTTCAATTTGCTAGGACTTCTTTTGAACACATCTGCAAACATTTAGTTAATTCTTTGCTGCTTCTCTTTAGGTAGTTAGAAGTACAAAATCTACCTTGGTGACCGCCTCGCAAATTAAAAGTGTGCAAACAAAGCTAGTAGTTATTTGTTTGTTTGTTGCACGCACGTGAATACGAGTAAGAATTGACACGCGATGGCCACGCATCATTGTCTGCTTCTTCACGCACTATTCCATGTGACTCTTGCTGCCTTGCCTTCTGATATATATGCACTACACGTACGGGAAAATGTTCATTAAGGCTCTGTTTGGTTTGAAGGGAAATAAAAGAAAGGAAAAGAAAGTGTAAAAGAAAGTAATTTTTCTTTGTTTGGTTTGGAAGAAAACGAGAAAGAAAATGAATCTTAAAATCATTGTAGAAAAAGACCCATATAGCCGGTTCTTTTCCCCTTTCCTCACTTGATCGGAGTGAAAATGAGAGAGAGGGAGAGAAAATCCCGACGATGCCTCCTTCAAAATTCCCGACTCCATCGCGACTCCATCATCTCTCTCTCTCTCTCTCTCTCGATCTCAAATCTCCTTGAGCTCTCTCTCGTCGTTCTCTCGGATCTCTCTCCCTCGACCTCTCTCGGATCTCCTTCATCCCCGCTGCCGGCATCCCACTGCGCCACCACCGTGGCCGCCGCCTCGTAAAACTCATCCAGGTAACCCTAATCTCTCTCTACCTTTCATCACTTTTTACCTTTTTTAGAAAAATCAGAGGTCTATTTTGATCTAAGAGAGGAAGCCCAGCCATTGTCGAGTTCACCAACACTTGAAAGGTATCAAAATCCGCCCACATGATCTTCAATTAGGTTTTATTTTCCAAGTGTTTGATGAAATGCTCCTTAGACTTTTTTAATCAAAGCTTAATATTTTTGCATTTCATTTTTGCTATTTATTGTTCTTAATTGTTTTATGAACCATATCATGCACTCTTTTAATTTTTGGTGAAATCTGGTAACTTCTGTAGTTTTCAAGTTAAAGTGCAAAATTGGAAGATTATATTGAATTTATGGTATTAGGTTGAGTCTGATTGATTATGATGTTTGATTGGTTATTAGATTGTTAATCAATTCCATTTCAATTTTCTCTAAATTTTATTTTTTTGAGAAACCGGAGTCTCTAGAAGCTAGGTATAATGCTCCAAAACCCTAATATTACTTAATTTTAAGTTCTCAAATTTTACAAATGATACTGTAATATCACAAATTGCACATATCATTCTTGAACGAAATTCATACATAAATAGATTATGTACACGTTCCTTGCAGTTTCTCAATTAATGCAAAAAGACGTGCCTTTGTCTTTTGGTTTGACATAAAGATGTGCATTTTCAGATTTTAATCTTCAACTTTGCTTTGTTTACAATATTCCATTCAATATATCATCCGAGACCAGGTTCGATGGCTTCATAATTTATCTCGATGGGTATTTCTTTTCCTTTGATTTTCTACGATGTTGGCACCTTTCTGAGCATACTCTTGGTCAACGATGCCCATCAGAGATTTTCATGTTGGTAGTTTTATTTGAATTTGGGTTCTTGTGTAGTTAACTTAATTTTTTGAATATTTTAAGTTTTATTTGAATTTGGGTTCTTGTGTAGTTTTATTTTCATTGTCAGTTTTTATGTGCAAAATCTGTAGATCTTATTCGCCTTTTACGATAAAACTATTTTGTGTGATACAGTAAATCAAGCTTCCTTTTTGTACGATTTTCTTCATATGCTTCTTGTTCTTAGTACTATTGTTGTGTTTCTACAATGTGCGTGGTTCTTGAGTTTGAGAATAGTGTCATTATAATGTTGAGGAGATCACGGCTTCTGCAGGTTTGGAACGGTTAGAAGCAGATCGAACTTTACTTGAGAAGAAAGATGCAGATAGTTCTTTATGGGATGATCCTTCAAAAGCTCAAGAAACACTTCTCACCTTGACTGATGTCAAAGATAAAATTAAATTGCTCTCTGAGTTCAAGTCCCAGGTTTTGAATTCATATCCCTAGTGCTTACTTAAACCGCTCATATGATGGTTCCTTTTAAAATTAACAACAACATTTTGCATATTTACTGTGCATAAATCCCCAGTTATCTGTTTTATTTTTCAATTTTCTCTGTAACTTTGGTTTGGTCCTTATGGCAAGGAAGGAGCTGTTGTTACTATAACTGCTGGTGCTGGGGGTACTGACGCATGGGTATTCATTTGCTTGTTTTCTCAAATTTGAATTATTAGTTATATAAAGGCATCATCACATCTCGCTTGTTTTACACCCAAATTAACTTGTTGGTTGATTATATGCTGTTGAAGAGTTTCAGAATTATTACTCCTCCAAACTGACACTCGTGTATTACATCTAGATACAGGGTTCGTTTTTCAAATTTATATGATTCTGTACATGACCTTAGTAAGTGCTAAGTACTTAGAGAGAAACACCCCAAGTCAGTTCAGCAAAACTAAAACGAAAGAAATACACACATCAAATCTCTAAATCTCATGGCTTTGATCAGATCTGATGCATCCATCAGTACAGCACAGTAAGTTCAAGCTCTAATGATCAGATGATCAGAACAAGGCGAAGTCCGATACTTTTAATGGAACAGAGAATTTAATGAGGCAGGAAGGCAATATGGAGCTCCCGATTTAAATTATTTCCTGAAAATAAATATTAATAGCATTCACGCTATCAGAAGTTGGCATTCGATCAAATTTTGTCAAGAAATAACATCAGCTCCTAGAGAACAGAAATCTGGCTATGTCTAAACTCTATTAGCTTATGACATATGCAGATGCCCTGTACTGTACATACACAATCGACATTTCCATGCAGTTTATGTCACTATTGATACTATTGATGGCCGATGTTTCTAAGCATTGTACATTTCAAGCTAGCGCATGCCATGTTCATGATTACTACCAAGGATATCAGAGAAAGACGATATTTAGCCTATATATATTCAAGAAAATTTTATCATCAAAATTGTGGTGTTTCTATTGCACTACCAAAAAATATATATATCTGTTAAGACTTGCACTTTACTCTTAGACAGGGTTAGCCTTCTATAGTAAGAAGATAAGAAATAGTAAAGTATCATGTAGTAATCTCAAACCAATTTCAGCTATCAAGTTGATGACTGAGGATGGCTTCTATTTCCTGAGTCCAGTTCATGTTGAATCCATTTCCTTTACATGTCATAAGGGTCTTGAAACTATCCTAGGCCGACCCAGTCGACACTGCTTTTCTTGGCATCACGGAGCATTTGAACTTTGGGGACTCAATGAAGAGACTGCAGACACTTGATAAAGACAGTTTCTAATTTTTAGTTTCTAGATGTCATGCTGATAGTCCATCCTTTTCTTGCTGATTAAAGTTATGTATTAAGTAGTATTTTTTTTTTTTTTGGAACATCTAATAATATATGTTTCTTATGCTTGCTAAGTTCATGTCTTTTTATTTAATTCTGAGTGGTTCTACATACTTTCTTTTCCCTTTCCATACTGCCCTCTGAGTGCTTGCATGTAGAAGTATTTGGTTCCCAGTGTTGTCTGATATTGGCTAGTTATTACAATTTAGGGACATATTCAGTGTAAGTCCCCGATGTATCGACCAAATATCATTTGGTGCTTAATGTTTGAAAGTCGTTTTTTTTTTTTGGGGGGGGACATTGCCTCTGTCATCAACTTAAAGTCCTTTTACAAACTTTTGTTAAATCTTGCTGACGTGGTAACAACGTGATTTGCCATATCAGAAAAAAAAAAAACTAGTGAAAGCCTAAGTTTGTCCTGCCACATCACTGCCACATAACCAAAAAAGTTAGTGAAATTACAAGTTTGTATTGAACTTGGAATTTCACTAATTTTTTTTGCTGACATGACGGGATCATGTCCTTGCCACGTCATTAAGATTTAACGGAAGTTTGTAAAAAGGACCTAGGCTGATGATAGAGGTAAAGTTAGGGACCCCCAATTGATGACTTCCAAACATTAAGGACCGAAATGAGATTTGACCAATACATTGGGATCTCCATTGAAGTTTTGCCTACAATTTAACTAGAGCAACCTGAATGATCATAGTATGCTCTTTTCTGTCACTGTCAGTTCCTTGTAAGGGTGAAAATCCGGTGAAGAAGTGAATAACATGCTTAATGGAGCATTTCCCTTTTTCTTTTTTTTTTGAGCAAAGAATGCTTCAAAAGTTCTTGTTGGTTGGATATGATGGATCAGGAACCAGTACCATATTTAAACAGGTATTACAAATTTATAAGTTTGAGTATGTCAACAATTCATACCAGTCCTGTGTTCTATAATGCATTCTGTTCTCTCCCTGGAGAACAACTTTCTGAATGTTATCATTGAAGTCTGTTCCATGTACAAAGTTACTTATATCACCAATATATGCATCTTTTCTTTGTGTGTGTGTATGAAATTTTTTCTAGTTCTGAGTTTATTACTTTGAAATTCTTTTCTCCCATACTGATTTATATACAGATTTACAAGCCTTCAAGTGATCTGTCCATTTGGAAGTATTCAGTAAATTTCACAAGATTAGAATACAAAGCCACATGTTTCTGGGACAAACTTAACATTACAATGATTAGTCACTTCCATCATTTCTGATGATTAGTCTTACGAAAAGAACCATGATACGACGAGTGGTAGTTTCATTTTGCTTCTAAAAGAATCTTAAGACTTCATTTTATAGGTTTTTGATGTTTATATTCTACTTATTTGAATTTTTTTGATTTAATTTCAGGGGATGAAGGATGCGAGATTGATGTTTTGATGGGCTCACTAAAGTCAAAAACCAAGGACTTCGGCATATTTTTCTCTCTTTGGTTAAGATTCTCTATATGAAATTGATTGTAATAGACTTTGTTGGTTAAGATCTTCTATATGAAATTGATTGTAATAGACTTTGTTAGTTAAGATTTTCTATATGAAATTGATTATACTTTATATTAGGATTATCGTGACATTTACTTTAGATTTGTTTTGGTTCTTTCATTGACCTTTCTTTCTGCAAATGTTGTGTGTGAGAAATATTATTTTTAACTAGTGGAATTGTGGTTGTGCTTCTACTTGTTAATATTATGTGTGAGAAATGTTGTTCTTTAATTAGTGGAATTGTGGTTGTGCTTCTGCATGTTAATTATTTTTTGTGAACTATTTAAAATCTAAATCTAAAAAATATGAATTAAAATTATGTTGTGATAATTTTTTTCCTCTTTTTTTTCAGAAAGGTAACCAAACAAGAGAAAATGACTTTCTTATGAATATTCTTCTAACTTTCCTTACAATATTCTTTCTAACCAAACAATAAAAAGCATATCATTTTCTTTTCTTTTTCTTTTCCTTTCTTTTTTACTTTCTCTTTCTTTTTCTTTTCTTTCCCTTTCTCTCAAACCAAACATAGCCTAATTAAGTGTGCTTAATGTGATGGAGCCCTCCTGCAAAATAGCTGGAGTTTGATCTAGATGAGATATAAGCTCCCTACTCTTTTCTAGGAAATTAAGGGATGCACTATGATAGGGTAGTCGGATCCTTCACGCTTATAATTGCTTTTCAGATCTTGATCAGTTTTTGGATCAAAGAAATTTCATCTTCAGGCTGAAACGGCACATCAAAGAGTTCTATTTAATTTTATTTTTTAGTTTTTAGAGGAAACCTCTTTATTTTAGGAAGCCCCTGTATTTTAGGAAAAATAGTTTTGCATTGCTTATATTCTATACGGTACTTGGGTAGTGGTTTACATTGCAATGGATCCTAGTTGCAATATAATTATATACGGTACCATAGCGATATAGCCAACATTTGAAATGACTATAAAAAACTTTGTAAATTGTAACCATAATTGCACTTTTCTATACTGTTAACAAAGCGAATTGTGATCATGTAAGAAAATCAATTATGTTTACGAATATTGGTGGAGTTAGTTGTTTAAGGGCTTGTTGCTTGCTCTATGATTTGCATTTTAGATTTAAGAGGAATCCAAATATCGAAAACATCATAACTTTTTAGAAAAGTTATTTTTGTTTGAATTATTGGGAATGGTCAATTTCATACAAATTTTTTATATTTAGCAATATTAAGATGTGTTAGGTGTAGATTTAATAACTTTGAGACGTTAGAGGATGAAAATAATTTTTCTAACAAAAAATTTTAGTTCACATCTGAATTATTGCCGCAGTAAGAAAAATGATCCTATTAGTAAAGGGATAGAAATAGAATATACTAATTAATTAAAGTACTCTGAGCATTTAAGGGAATAATATGTTAATTTAGCGAATATTTAAGTGTTGTTTAGCCTTAAAAACGGGTACGGTACAGTACGTCCAGCTCACCCAAGTACAAATCTGCGGTCTCCCAACAAACCCGGCTCATCTCTACCAACCCAATTCCCCTGGCCTCACATCGTTCAATCAAGACCGTCCATTCGGCCACTGACAGATCGGACAGTCGATACTAGCCGAGGGGCGAGTTCGTCTGATGCCGTCCTCGTGGTCTTCGACCGTCGATTTCGAAGAAGTAACCGACGGAGTCCGCTTTTATCAACTCGCAATTAATGGGAATCGAACACGTCGCCTTGTCTGGACCGGCAGTAGTCCAACAACCCGAGTATTCGCACGTGTTTTCCGTGGTGGTCGCTGTTCACGGTTCTGGTCTTGATTTGGACAGGCGGCTTCTTTTGCATATACAACCTTAAACTTATTCCATTACACAGAATGGCTATTTCAGTACAAGTAAGTAGTTGGAATTTCTTTGGCCTTGACTCTTGAGTAGTTGAAACAAGATACACATTGCAGCATATTTAGTTCCCCTCTTATTATATGCTCTTTATTTTTTTTATTTTTTTTGATAACTATATGCTCTTTAATTTGAGCATAGACAAAATTGTATATTTTTAGGTTTTCTTTTGTTATTGTAACAACATATTAATGATGCAAATCAGCTAGACGCCTACCCAACGCAACTGCTTTAAAACATACACACCTTGTATTAAACAATATAATTGTTACAAGTATCTAAAGAGCACAATAGCTTATTAAGATAATTTGGATGCACAAATCCTATTGTTTCAATGTCGACAATCAAGTGAACAACTTGGTTACATGGTGTTCAAAAACTGACTATTTTGACTACATATATCTCGACAATGAAGTTAATCTTGTTGGAAATTTATCAAATAATTAAAATTATAGCATGAAATAAATCCGAATAAAATAAACAATTAAATCTGGCCCGACGGGAGCAGTCGTGTATTCACTGCCCTAGAAGATTGAGAACCCGCCTATCGTCCTGGCGCAAATGCTTCTCTCCCCCCAACGGTAAAAGCCCCCGGAAACGGCCGACCTCCGTACTCGGGCGAAAGTACAGAGCTTCAGCTCAGATGAAGAAATGCCCAAAAAAAATAAAAAATTATAAGGGAAAAAAAATTCCTTAAACAAAGAGTATAGGAGAAACCTTTATTCTTATCCTTTAAGAATGGAATAAGAATTATAGTTTGAGGAAAGAGGATTTTGTCAATTTTTCAATTT